GTTGTAAGGATCTACAAACCTACGGTTGTAAGGATCTACAAACCTACGGTTGTAAGGATCTACAAACCTACAGTTGTAAGGATCCAATGTTATGTAAGAATTCACCTTTGGTATTACGTCTTTTACCCAACACTGTATATAATGGTACACACAATTTTGTTAGTTGATTACAGTCACAAAAATAAGACTGATTAGATGTATATTAAATGATATTTTTCTGATTAAAATTTCAATTGTGGCTTATCTTTGTCGTTGTTGCATGACAGTTTATGAAATTGAAAATTTGTTTCAAACATAAGTTGTTTTGGTTTACATCGCATGCATGTGTTATTAGTGAAGAAATGATGATAACAGAAATCAATAGTTAATTTTATAATAAAATTTTGTCAAAAGTACCTATTTATCCTTTATTTTGATGTTATTTTGAAGGTTTAAAGCCAAATTAAAAGACAAAATTGATGTAGATGTCCTGCCTGCCTTTGAATCACTATTGGTAAGTATATACAAAAATGATTTCTCAACTGCATTCTAACACTCGACTCTTTGGGCAGAGGAGTAGGTCCAATACTTGGCAATAGCAATTGAATAGGTTGTTCCTTATGAAAGGGCAAAGGGATTTTAACAATATTCGGTGTGAATCGTCCCTTGGCATGAATGATTCAATGTTGTATAGATAAAGGGTGTGGCCATCTGGTTAGTTGTTAAAAGAGGGAGGGGCAGAATTTTGGAGATATTGAGGTAAATGCTGAAGTAAATAGTTCTGAATGAAAGTGTTAACATTAAGTGGATTGCAGTAACTTTCTATAGCTTTAAGTTGATGTCTTAAAAATTTACCTATCATTGTAAAGATGAGATAACTAATGTCAATAGTTGTTAGATTAAGAGAATATGGATAGCACCTCAATGATGAAATTCTTTAACTGTTGAAATTAACAGAAAGACGGATGTTCTGGCCAAGCTTGTGTTCTTCCGACATGTGTGACGACAATGATGAACCTGGCGACCGACACGGTTATACGGGACAAACTGTGTGCGCGTCAGGACCTTTGGAAGGCAGTACTGGACCTTATGGTATAGTAGTCCTGTCACATTGGTAAACACCCTCTCCAGATAGATCAGTGGTTGTTACTCTATAGTCATAACAGTTTCCTTACATATTGTACTTTATTAATCAAAGCGATATTTGATAGATTTCTTTAAGTAGAACTCTTTACGGGGAAATGTTCACTGCAGTTTAGCTTTTGGCTTGTTCACCCTCCGTAATGAGGGTGAAATTTATCACGAAGGGGAAAATTAGTACACAACATACCATACATAGAAATAACACGTGAAGGACAAAAGTTTGACGGGACAAAAGTTTGCCGCTATACAGTATCTTTAATGTGTTACAGACACAACACAAAGAGCGTTTGGACCAGCCAATCAGTGTGGAGCTTGTGGAGTCGTTACTAGGCCTCCTGTCTAACCTGACCTTCACAGTGTCCCAACACCACAAGGAACAAGCTGTCACCATCTGTAAACAGTGCCTCGAGTTCTGTACAAAGTTCAAACACTACAAACTGATCGTATCGCGCAGCTTAGGTGTACTCAGTCACATACTTCCCAATTCAATACCGTCTGTGGACTGGCTCTGTACGGAGAACGGTGCAGAAGTCCTGATGTACCATGTGAAGGTAAGGGAGTGTGGTAGAGTGGATCATTTACCATGTGAAGGTGAGAGAGTGTGGTAGAGTGGATCATTTTACCATGTGAAGGTGAGGGAGTGTGACAGAGTGGATCATTTACCGTGTCAAGGTGAGGGAAGGTGGTAGAGTGGATCATTTACCATCTGAAGGTAAGAGAGTGTGGTAGAGTGGATCATTTACCATGTAAAGGTAAGGGAGTGTGACAGAGTGGATCATTTACCATGTGAAGGTGGGGGAGTGTGGTAGAGTGGATCATTTACCTTGTGAAGGTAAGGTAGTGTGGTAGAGGTGATCATTTACCATGTGAAGGTGAGGGAGTATGGCAGAGTGGATCATTTACCATGGGAAGGTAAGGGAGGGTGGTAGAGTGGGTCATTTACCATGTGAAGGTAAGAGAGTGTGGTAGAGTGGATCATTTACCATGGGAAGGTAAGGGAGGGTGGTAGAGTGGGTCATTTACCATGTGAGGGTAAGGGAGTGTGGTAGAGTGGATCATTTACCTTGTGAAGGTAAGGGAGTGTGGTAGAGTGGATCATTTACCTTGCGAAGGTAAGGGAGTGTGGTAGAGTGGATCATTTACCTTGCGAAGGTAAGGGAGTGTGGTAGAGTGGATCATTTACCATGGGAAGGTAAGGGAGGGTGGTAGAGTGGGTCATTTACCATGTGAGGGTAAGGGAGTGTGGTAGAGTGGATCATTTACCATGGGAAGGTAAGGGAGGGTGGTAGAGTGGGTCATTTACCATGTGAAGGTAAGAGAGTGTGGTAGAGTGGATCATTTACCATGGGAAGGTAAGGGAGGGTGGTAGAGTGGGTCATTTACCATGTGAAGGTAAGAGAGTGTGGTAGAGTGGATCATTTACCATGTTAAGGTAAGAGAGTGTGGTAGAGTGGATCATTTACCATGTTAAGGTAAGAGAGTGTGGTAGAGTGGATCATTTACCATGTTAAGGTAAGAGAGTGTGGTAGAGTGGATCATTTACCATGTTAAGGTAAGAGAGTGTGGTAGAGTGGATCATTTACCATGTAAAGGTTAGGGAGTGTGACAGAGTGGATCATTTACCATGTGAAGGAGAGGGAGTGGGGCAGAGTGGATCATTTACCATGTGAGGGAGTGTGGCAGAGTGGATTATTTACCATGTGAGGGGGTGTGGCAGAGAGGATTATTTACCATGTGAAGGTGAAGAGTGTGGCAGAGTGGATCATTTACCATGTGAATGTAAGGGGGTGTGGAAGAGTGAAACATTTATCATGTGAAGGTAAGGGAGTGTGGCAGAGGGGATCATTTACCATGTGAAGGCAAGGGAGTGTGGCAGAGTGGATCATTTATCATGTGAAGGTAAGGGAGTGTGGCAGAGGGGATCATTTACCATGTGAAGGTGAGGGAATGTGGTAGAGTGGATCATTTACCATGTTAAGGTAAGAGAGTGTGGTAGAGTGGATCATTTACCATGGGAAGGTAAGGGAGGGTGGTAGAGTGGGTCATTTACCATGTGAAGGTAAGAGAGTGTGGTAGAGAGGATCATTTACCATGTGAAGGTAAGGGAGTGTGGCGGAGTGGATCATTTACCATGTGAAGGTAAGAGAGTGTGGTAGAGTGGATCATTTACCATGTAAAGGTTAGGGAGTGTGACAGAGTGGATCATTTACCATGTGTGGGTAAGGGAGTGTGGCAGAGTGGATCATTTTCCATGTGAGGGTAAGGGAGTGTGGTAGAGTGGATCATTTACCATGTTAAGGTAAGAGAGTGTGGTAGAGTGGATCATTTACCATGGGAAGGTAAGGGAGGGTGGTAGAGTGGGTCATTTACCATGTGAGGGTAAGGGAGTGTGGTAGAGTGGATCATTTACCATGGGAAGGTAAGGGAGGGTGGTAGAGTGGGTCATTTACCATGTGAGGGTAAGGGAGTGTGGCAGAGGGGATCATTTACCATGTGAAGGCAAGGGAGTGTGGCAGAGTGGATCATTTAACATGGGAATGTAAGGGGGTGTGGAAGAGTGGAACATTTATCATGTGAAGGTAAGGGAGTGTGGCAGAGTGGATTATTTACCATGTGAAGGTAAGGGAGTGTGGAAGAGTGAATCATTTACCATGTAAAGGTGGGGGAGTGTGGCAGATTGGATCATTTACCATGTGCAGGTGAGGGAGTAAGGCAGATTGGATCATTTTACCATGTGATGGTAAGGGAGTGTGGCAGAGTGGATCATTTCCCATGTGAAGGTAAGGAAGTGTGACAGAGTGGATCATTTACCATGTGTGGGTAAGGGAGTGTGGCAGAGTGGATCATTTTCCATGTGAGGGTAAGGGAGTGTGGTAGAGTGGATCATTTACCATGTTAAGGTAAGAGAGTGTGGTAGAGTGGATCATTTACCATGTGAAGGTGAGGGAGTGTGGCAGAGTGGATCATTTACCATGTGAAGTTAAGGGAGTGTGGTAGAGTGGATCATTTACCATGTGAGGGAGTGTGGCAGAGTGGATCATTTTACCATGTGAGGGTAAGGGAGTGTGGCAGAGGGGATCATTTACCATGTGAAGGTGAGGGAGTGTGACGGAGTGGATCATTTACCATGTGAAGGTAAGGGAGTGTGGTAGAGTGGATCATTTACCATGTGAGGGAGTGTGGCAGAGTGGATCATTTTACCATGTGAGGGTAAGGGAGTGTGGCAGAGTGGATTATTTACCATGTGAAGGTAAGGGAGTGTGGCAGAGTGGATCATTTATCATGGAAGAGGTGATTGTTTATCATGTGAAATTAAGGGGTTTACCATGTGAAGGTGAGGGAGTGTGGCAGAGTGGATCATTTACCATGTGAGGGTAAGGGAGTGTGGTAGAGTGGATCATTTACCATGTAAAGGTAAGGGAGTGTGGTAGAGTGGATCATTTACCATGTAAAGGTAAGGGAGTGTGGTAGAGTGGATCATTTACCATGTAAAGGTAAGGGAGTGTGGTAGAGTGGATCATTTACCATGTAAAGGTAAGGGAGTGTGGTAGAGTGGATCATTTACCATGTGAAGGTGAGGGAGTATGGCAGAGTGGATCATTTACCATGTGAAGGTAAGGGAGTGTGGTAGAGTGGATCATTTACCATGTAAAGGTAAGGGAGTGTGGTAGAGTGGATCATTTACCATGTAAAGGTAAGGGAGTGTGGTAGAGTGGATCATTTACCATGTAAAGGTAAGGGAGTGTGGTAGAGTGGATCATTTACCATGTGAGGGAGTGTGGCAGAGTGGATCATTTTACCATGTGAGGGTAAGGGAGTGTGGCAGAGGGGATCATTTACCATGTGAAGGTGAGGGAGTGTGACAGAGTGGATCATTTATCATGGCAGAGGTGATTGTTTATCATGTGAAATTAAGGGGACAATACAAAACTGATTATGTACTGTGTTACTGTTAAGTACCTGTAGGGCAAAGTAAGTTGATCATATGGTGGTAAGGGGGCAGGGCAAAATTGATTATATGATGGTAAAGGGGCAGGGTAAAGTTGATCATGTGAAGGTAAGGGGGCAGGACAGAATTAATGATTTGAAGGTAAGGGGGTGGGGCAGAGTTGATCATGTGGAGCTAAGGNGGGGGGGCATTAAAATGTATCATGTGAATGTTAGGGGGCAGGGCAAAGTGTATGTATCATGTGGAGCTCAGGGGGTGTAGCAGATGTGATCATGTATTATATTAAAGTAAAGAGATGTAGCAGAATGTATTATGTAAGGTGTAGTATCATGTGAAGGTGATCTTGCATTCTGTCAAATTTAAGGGGTGGGCAGAGGTAATCAGGTAACCTGTCAAGGAGGTTAAGACAAGACTGAATGGAAAGAAGAAAAGGGGATGGGACAAAACTGGTAGCCATTGACTTCCTCTAGGTAGCCAGTGAGGATTAGGGACAGTGTTGTGTACAGGGTTTTGAGAACAAAAGAGGTCATAGGCTAAACAATTGATTTATTTTGGATGAGCAGACTAATTATATAACTATCAATAGAATGAGTTTTTCTTTGTAGAGTGAAGATGATGCTGAGAACAGAAAACATGCCTTAAAGGGCTTGACAGCCTGCACTCAAATTAATGAACTGGCACGCATATTTGTTGTAGATCACAAAGGTAAGTATTGGCTTGCTAGGGATGACTGTCTATAATGCTACAGTCCAATCACATCACTTATGAAACATATGTCGCAACAGTGTGCCTAGATTGTGTTTGATAGACATCAAGTTGATTTGCCTTTCATGAAGGAAACTATAAAGTAAACAAGGAAAAATAAAAAGCAATTGTTCAAGAAAATTAGGAGATTTCTAAAATCCATATCCACAATGCAAATTGATCACGTCTAGATTGTCATGTGCTGCATTGTAAATCAGCATGTGAGCAATCAGAAATAGAATGTGATAAAAATGATCTGTTAAAGCGTAATGTTTAAGCTATCAAAATAAAAAGAATTAAATATTTTGATGGTAGTTGTTCATGCCATTTGTATATCTCACTTCAAAATCTCTGTCTGTAAATCCTCAATGCTTTGGTTAACAGGTGGCTCCCTATAACAGTAAATCCTCAATGTTTTGGTTAACAGCTGGCTCCCTATAACTGTAAATCCTCAATGCTTTGGTTAACAGCTGGCTCCCTACTATAACTGTAAATCCTCAATGCTTTGGTTAACAGCTGGCCCCCTATATCTGTAAATCCTCAATGCTTTGGTTAACAGCTTGCTCCCTATATCTGTAAATCCTCAATGCTTTGGTTAACAGCTGGCTCTCTATAACTGTAAATCCTCAATGCTTTGGTTAACAGCAGCCTCCCTATAACTGTAAATCCTCAATGCTTTGGTTAACAGCTGGCTCCCTATAACTGTAAATCCTCAATGCTTTGGTTAACAGCTGGCTCCCTATAGCTGTAAATCCTCAATGCTTTGGTTAACAGGTGGCTCCCTATAACTGCAAATCCTCAATGCTTTGGTTAATAGCTGGCCCCCTACAACTGTAAATCCTCAATGCTTTGGTTAACAGTAGCCCCCTATAACTGTAAATCATCAATGCTTTGGTTAACAGCTGGCTCCCTATAACTGTAATTCCTCAATGCTTTGGTTAACAGATGTCCCCCTATAACTGTAAATTCTTAATGCTTTGGTTAACAGCTGGCCCCCTATACCTGTAAATCCTCAATGCTTTGGTCAACAGCTGGCTCCCTATAACTGTAAATCCTCAATGCTTTGGTTAATAGCTGGCTCCCTATCACTGTAAATCCTCAATGCTTTGGTTAACAGCTGTCCCCCTATAACTGTAAATCCTCAATGTTTTGGTTAACAGCTGGCCCCCTATAACTGTAAATCCTCAATGCTTGGGTTAACAGCTGGCTCCCTATAACTGTAAATCCTCAAGCTTTGGTTAACAGCTGGCTCCCTATAACTGTAAAGCCTCAATGCTTTGGTTAACAGGTGGCTCCCTATAACTGTAAATCCTCAATGCTTTGGTTAACAGCAGGCTCCCTATAACTGTAAATCCCAGAAAACATTACATTTGTGTATTTAGGACTCTTTTGTGATTGTCTGTAGTAGGACTTAAAACACTGGTATGGATTTCACATCATCTAACTATACATAAGTATAACTTATACATAGATTTATTCTGACAAAATTAGGATTTTATAGTCCTTTGACAGCCAGCTCTGGAATCAGAAAACAATTAAATAAAAACATATATCAAAAATTGTGACGTTGAAATTTATAATATTTCTTTAAAACTGTAGTTTTACCAGTGTTCATCTAATTTATATTCAAATTGTTTAACTGTGCTTGAATTCACATTATTTGACCGAAAATAGTTTAATAAATCAACAGTTCTCTATGTAAAGGAAAATGTTCGAATATTTAATCTTAACTGCGAATTCTAAATTATAAAGTTTATAACTCAGAATGCATTATAATAGGTGTTGTGTGATTGCTCACCATTCACATGTGTTGTAGGACTTGACACACATTATAATAGGTGTTGTGTGATCGCTCACCATTGACATGTGTTGTAGGACTTGGGACACATTATAATAGGTGTTGTGTGATTGCTCTCCATTGACATGTGTTGTAGGACTTGGGACACATTATAATAGGTGTTGTGTGATTGCTCTCCATTGACATGTGTTGTAGGACTTGGGACACATTATAATAGCTGCTGTGTCATTGCTCACCATTGACATGTGTTGTAGGACTTGACACACATTATAATAGGTGTTGTATGATTGCTCACCATTGACATGTGTTGTAGGACTTTGGACACGTTATAATAGGTGTTGTGTGATTGCTCACCATTGACATGTCTTGTAGGACTTGGAACACATTTTAATAGCTGTTGTGTGGTTGCTCACCATTGACATGTGTTGTAGGACTTGGGACACGTTATAATAGGCGTTGTGTGATTGCTCACCATTGACATGGGTTGTAGGACTTGGCACACATTATGATAGGTGTTGTGTGATTGCTCACCATTGACATGTGTTTAGGACTTGACACACATTATAATAGGTGTTGTGTGATCGCTCACCATTGACATGTGTTGTAGGACTTGGGACACGTTATAATAGGGGTTGTGTGATTGCTCACCATTGACATGTGTTGTAGGACTCGGGACACATTATAATAGCTGCTGTGTGATTGCTCACCATTGACATGTGTCGTAGGACTTGATACACATTATAATAGGTGTTGTGTGATTGCTCACTATTGACATGTGTTGTAGGACTTGGAACACATTTTAATAGCTGTTGTGTGGTTGCTCACCATTGACATGTGTTGTAGGACTTGGAACACATTTTAATAGCTGTTGTGTGGTTGCTCACCATTGACATGTGTTGTAGGACTTGGAACACATTTTAATAGCTGTTGTGTGATTGCTCACCATTGACATGTCTTGTAGGACTTGGAACACATTTTAATAGCTGTTGTGTGATTGCTCACCATTGACATGTGTTGTCGGACTTGGGACACATTATAATAGGTGTTGTGTGATTGCTCACCATTGACATGTGTTGTAGGACTTGGAACACATTTTAATAGCTGTTGTGTGATTGCTCACCATTGACATGTGTTGTAGGACTTGGCACACATTATAATAGGTGTTGTGTGATTGCTCACCATTGACATGTGTTGTAGGACTCGGGACACTTATTCGACTACTGAAGGCGGACGACGAGATTCTGATCGGTAACTCAGCACTAAGTCTGGGTCACTGTACACAGGTACCCAAGGTGTGTGCAGCTCTAACTAAAACAGGCATTATCAAGGACTTGTTAGTACTAGCACGAGACGGCAAGCGCCCAGCTGTACAACAGAACTGTGCCATCCTCATCGCTAAGCTTGCTCAGGGAGACTCCAGGTAAAGATTCAAAGTCGCACACCTTAAAATAGTTAATCCTTTACATGGATGTTACGTGACCAACAGGTGGCAGACAAGTAATACTCGGCATACAAATACAAAGTGTACAAAAAATAACATATTCATCACCTAACTTCTGTTCAAATTATTATATAATAGTATTCAAATGCAGAAGCTGTGTTATTTGTAAGGCACTGCAGTAATATTAAACATGGACTGTCCGTATGTAGCTCCATCCACAACCAATATCTCGTTTTATTTTTTGAATCATATTTTTTTTCTCATTTCAGACACTTAGAGAGGTTACGAGAGCTGCATGGTGTTGATATACTTCACACATGTATGAAACACCTGAAGTGATCATTGCTGTCCTCTAACTACATCACATTACCCCCACATAATCAGTCAGTACACGCCTGTCACCACCTAGTGTTCCTCAGTACCCCTGTCTGGGATATTGTTTAATGGGATACCTCTGGCTTGGACATCGTTGACGGGGATACCCCTGTCTGGGATATTGTTTACTGGGATACCCCTGTCTGGGATCATTGACTGGGATACCCTTGTCTGGGATATTGTTTACTGGGATACCCTTGTCTGGGATGTTGTTGTCTGGGATACCGAAGAGTTGCGAAGACTAATTATCCCTGTCTGAGACATCATTGAATGCAGCACCCATGTCTGAGACATCATTGACTGGGATACCCCTGTCTGGGATATTGTCGACTGGGATACTGTTCACTGAGAAACCTCTGTCTGAAATACCATTGACTGGAATCTTTCTTTGACTCAGATACTCCTGCCAAGGATTCTGTTTATTGGGAAACAGTGTCTTGGGATACAGTTGAATGGATACTCCAGCCTTGGAATGTGTTAACTTTGGTACCCCTGATTGAGATACCATTGACAGGGATACCCCTTATTGGGATACCATTGATGGGATTCTGTTGACAGGAATACCCCTGATTGGGATACCATTGATGGGATTCTGTTGACAGGGATACCCCTGATTGGGATACCATTGATTGAATTCTGTTCACAGGGATACCCCTGATTTGGATTCTGTTGATGGGATACCCCTGATTGGGATACCATTGATTGAATTCTGTTGACAGAGATACCCCTGATATGGATTCTGTTGACAAAGATACCCTTGATTGGGATACCATTGATGGGATTCCGTTGACAGGGATACCCCTGATTGGGATACCATTGATGGGATTCTGATGACAGGGATACTGTTGATGATATTCTATTGACAGGGATACCATTGATGATATTCTATTGACAGGGATACCCCTGTTTGGGATACCATTGATGGGATTCTGTTGACAGGGATTCCCCTGATTGGGATACCATTGATGGGATTCTGTTGACAGGGATACCCTTGATTGGGATACCATTGATGGGATTCTGTTGACAGGGATACCCCTGATTGGGATACCATTGATGGGATTCTGTTGACAGGGATACCATTGATGGGATTCTGTTGACAGGGATACCATTGACAGGGATACCCCTGATTGGGATACCCTGACTTTGATACATTTGACTGATATTTACTTAAAACATCCCAGGATCGTGAAATACCATTTGTCTGTGTGTTCTTTGTGTGATATATGTACAGATATATATTTTTGTAAGGTGATACAATTGATACACATATCTCTATTCAGATTAGAAGTGTGTTGATTTCTTTATCACAAAAACACAAACATTTTAAATTATTAAAGTTGATAGCTTGACTTGCAGTATTATCAATTAAGAAAGCTAAAACTTTGACAGAATTTTGATTCATTAAATGTATGGATGTGGACAGAATGTGTTATACATTTAAGTGACAATTTGCTCAATGACTACTGTATCAGACTTCTTTCTTGTGAAAATTCCGATTTGATGAGTTATTTTCTTAAGCACTGTTCTAAATTGTGCAGCTTCTATTCTTTACTTTTATAAGATTTTTGCAAAGTGATTTGTTTTCATATTTATGAAAAAGTGTTTTTTGGCAATACATAGATTTCTGTATATTTATATAATGATGTCCCCAATGAGATTGGTGAAGCACTGTTAACTCTTTAAAAGTTTGATTGTTTATAACTTTACCCTATGTAGTGAATCAGCAAGATATCGTGGTGGTTTTGACAGCATACAATCATCGAACATACTGCATAAAATGATAACATATTAGCATATAATCCTGTCTAAACCAAACACCACTGTGATCTAGATTTCCATTCATGTAAGACAAATGTTTTGATTACAAAAGTCCATCTACTTAAGCTTTAAACTGCATTCAGATGCAGTTCTTCAGCAATATGATTGTCCACTGTGTTACAGGAAAGTAAAATGAACTGCATGCTAGATGTTTTCTTTTCCTGTAATGCAATGGGCATTCATAATGCCTATGAATTGCATCTTAAAGCAGTTTATTACTTAATATTATACTAACATTTTCTTGTCTTTCTGTCTTAAAAAAAAATTAATCAAAATGACATTAAGCATTACAAAAAATCCCCACAAGATCGACTGGAATGTCGAAATGATAGAACAGCCAAAAGATAGACTGGAATGTCGAAATGATAGAACAGCCAAAAGATCGACCGGAATGTCTAAATGATAGAACAGCCAAAAGATCGACTGGAATGTCTAAATGATAGAACAGCCAAAAGATCGACTGGATTGTCTAAATGATAGAACATGTACACCCTGTGACACATTTTTTTCACATATAGTCCAAGGACACAAACAACAAGTGGAAAAGCTTTTTTTATCAATGTGTTCTAATTTTATTGTGACAATCATAAAATAATGTTATGATAATAATTGATATTGAAGAAGTATTAAGAAAGGAACTAAGAGTAGACAGGGTATTGTTGGTCAGCTTAATCAATTCAGACTGGTAATTACTACAGTATGTCTGTTGTATACACAGATTTATCCTGTTAGCATTAGTTGATGGTTAAGAGGAGGCTGACATTAGGGAGAAAAAACGACTTCAACTGTCTTCCTGCATATGTCACTGAAGTGTCTAACTACAATATGGAGTGTCTCCCGCATGTGTCTTGTTACAAGTCACTGGCGTGTCGTCTACATGTGTCTTGTTACAAGTCACTGGAGTGTCTTTTACATGTGTCTTGTTACAAGTCACTGGAGTGTCTTCTACATGTGTCTTGTTACAAGTTACTGAAGTGTTTCACTGCAACTGTCAAGTTACAAGTCACTTGATTATTTCTTGTGTGTATCTTTAATTTTTCTTTATAAGTGTCACTGAAGTGTCTCATTACATGTGTCACTGAAGTGTCTTACTACATGTGTCACTGAAGTGTCTCGTTACATGTGTCACTGAAGTGTCTTATTACATGTGTCACTGAAGTGTCTCATTAGATGTGTCACTGAAGTGTCTCATTAGATGTGTCACTGAAGTGTCTCATTAGATGTGTCACTGAAGTGTCTCATTAGATGTGTCACTGAAGTGTCTCATTAGATGTGTCACTGAAGTGTCTCATTTCATGTGTCACTGAAGTGTCTCGTTACATGTGTCACTGAAGTGTCTTACTACATGTGTCACTAAAGTGTCTCATTACATATGTCAGTGAAGTGTCTCATTACATGTGCCACTGAAGTGTTTCATTACATGTGTTACTGAAGTGTCTCATTACATGTGTCTCTGAAGTGTCTCATTACATGTGTGACTGAAGTGTCTCATTACATGTGCCACTGAAGTGTTTCATTACATGTGTCGCTGAAGTGTCTTACTTTAAAGATCAATGACGTGGGTCATTACATGTGTCACTGAAGTGGCTCGTTACATGTGTCACTGAAGTGTCTCGTTACATGGGTCACTGAAGTGTCTCATTACATATGTCAGTGAAGTGTCTCATTACATGTGCCACTGAAGTGTTTCATTACATGTGTCGCTGAAGTGTCTTACTTTAAAGATCAATGACGTGGGTCATTACATGTGTCACTGAAGTGTTTCATTACAAGTGTCACTGAAGTGTCTCATTACAGGTGTCACTGAAGTGTTTCATTACATGTGTCACTGACGTGTCTTACTTTAAAGATCAATGCCGTGGTTCATTACATGTGTCACTGACGTGTCTTACTTTAAAGATCAATGCCGTGGTTCATTACATGTGTCACTGAAGTGGCTCGTTACATGTGTCACTGAAGTGTCTTCCTACATGTGTCACTGAAGTGTCTCATTTCATGTGTCACTGAAGTGTCTCGTTACATGGGTCACTGAAGTGTCTCATTACATGTGTCACTGAAGTGTTTCATTACATGTGTCACTGAAGTGTCTTACTTTAAAGATCAATGACGTGGTTCATTACATGTGTCACTGAAGTGTCTCATTACATATGTCACTGAAGTGTCCCATTACAAGGGTCTGAAGTGTCTTACTGCAAAGATCTCTGAGAAGTTTATGATAACAAGTGTCACAGTGATGTCATAGTTCAACTGTCATTGACGTTCACCTCATGTTTATTGTCGATTTACCTGAGGAACATTACAGTATTGATGTTTTGGTAGATGAATAAATTGATAATATATTCTGTTGTCTTAGGTTTTTTAGTTTTGACCTTCTTGCAAATGAATAGGGTGAAAAAACGAACTGTAAACAATCATAACCTCAGTGGTAGATCAGTGTACAGGGGTGGCCATATAGCCGTAGACCCCGATCCGCTGTGGTACTAAAAATAAATAACAACATGGTGAAGTAGTCTACCTGTCTGCGGCCTGGAAAAAAATATTTCTCAACTCCCCACTCCGAACCACTATATGTTATTTCACTGCCAATCCACTAAAGGTTTCCTCCCCCCTACATTCAACCACTATAGGTTTCCTTACTCTCCCCACAAGGACTACATGTGTCTGCACTCCTGACTCACAACCACTATAGGTTTCCTCATTCCTACAACCACTAAAGGTTTGCTAACTCTTCCAACAACGATTACAGGTTTCTGCACTCCTGGCTCGCAACCACTATAGGTTTCCTCACTTCCACAACCACTATATGTTTCCTAACTCCCGACTCTGAACCACCATAGGTTTCCTCACTCACAAGACCACCATAGATTTCCTCACTCACAAGACCACCATAGGTTTGACGACTCCAAAACCACCATAGGTTTCTTCACTCACAAAACCACCATAGATTTCTCACTCACAAAACCACCATAGGTTTCCTAACTCCTGACTCCGAACCACTTTAGGTTTCCTCACTCCTCCAACAAGGGATATATGTTTCCTTACAACCGCTATTGGTTTCCCTACTCACAACTATTATATATGTTGCCATGTTTTTCATTGGTCAGTCTTCTAATTATGACGTCAAGTAACAATAATTTGCGGCATCATCTTTCTTTGTGACGTCATAGTTCATGGCAATTGATTCCCCGGTTGGAAAGAGAAATGATGTATTTCCTAGAGAAATATATGGGTTTCTAGATCTTGATGTAGTGGGATAAAAAGTCCACCAACTCGTGATAGTTCATTATCATGTGTCTCGTTATTAGCTGAGCCTATGCCGTCCTCCGGGATGGAGTGCTATAAATTTCCTCATTAAAATGACCTTGACCTAGTTTCAAGGTCATGGGTCCAATATGTTAAAAACTTCAAACAACAATATCCTAAGAACCATTTGGACTAGAGTCATGATACTTGAGTATGTTATGTAGACCAGCAGTGCAAATCTTTTTCTTTTTTACAGTATTGAGGTGTAAGGTAAACTTTTAAGTGCTAGTTGGGGGTCAAATGTCAACATGGGTTAAAAGCTTTAACAATCTTCTTCTCAAGTCCCATTAGGCCCAGGGTCATGCTATTTGGCCAGTAAGTACCTGGGATGTAGTGCTATAAGGTTTCCTCTTTAAAATGACATTGACCTACTTTCAAGGTCACATGGGTCAAATATGTTAAAAACTTCAAACAACAATATCCCAAGAACCATTTGAACTAGAGTCATGATACTTGAGTATGTTATGAAGACCAGCAGTGCAAATCTTTTTCTTAATTACAGTAATGAGGTAAAATGTCAACGTTAAGTGCTAGTCGGGGGGTCAAATGTCAACATGGGATGAAAGCTTTAACAATCTTCTTCTCAAGTTCCATAAGGCACAGTGTCATAATACTTGGCGAGCAGGTACTTGGGTATGTTATGTAGACCAGCAGAGCGAATCGTTTTCTTAATTACAGTAATGAGGTCAAAATTCAACATTAAATGCTAGCCGGAGTCAAAGGTTTACGTGGGTTAAAAGCTTTAAAATTTCAAATTTCAGACAACAATATCTTGAAAAGCGTTTAAGAGAAGTTAAAATGTCTTGTGTTCTAGTTACCCAATTTGGTCTGAAGTTATCTATATGTCAGTTTCATGTAACAAAAGTAACAGGTGCGCGATACAGGTCCTCTGGGCCTCTTGTTTAATTTTACATTGTAACTCGGTAAACAAATCGTGTGTGTTTTACAATGTAAAATTAACTCGATACAAATAAACAGGATGACCGTCCATCACTCGTATTGGAACCTTCTCTCGTTCACGAACAAGACTTTCTCGGATCACACAAATCAAAGTTATTTCTTTCGAATAATTCTATTACTATGGCTGAGACGCGATACAATTAAATCCAATAGCGGTCTGTGCATATGGAGAAGGTTGACCGACTATAATTTCAGCTGTCGACTGAGAGATCATTATAACATATGGAATAATACGATAAAACATTGATGTTTCTGGGATAACGTTTCTCTAAATTGGTATGTTAACCCGATTTGGAATCACGTATTCGTCCCACATTTTAACTTTGAATTGAAGTCCCCGCGACATGATGTCTTAAGCGTGGGAGTTGGATTTAAGGTTTAAATATATTTTAATTCTGTATATTAAATCTCTGGAGAACCTATGCTTACCCTGGTTTAGATGCTCCACCATTAATACTAGATTAAAGTCGTCGCGGTGACCCCCGCGGTGGAATCGTTCGTCAATCATCCGTGATACCCTGGTCTACAGAAGTGAACGATATCGACGTTTGACTGCTAAACTAATTAACTTATCATGTAAAAAGTGCTGCAACTGATTTCTTGGTGGCGAAAAATATGTCAAGTCAAATATCAACAACTTGCCTACAACGTATGTCTCTCCATAGCTCTCACGGGACCTGAGGATTTGTTACAGCTATATTTGGACCTAAACAAAGGTGTTCAGATTAATTTTACATGTTTTAGGGGTTTAGATCGTCTCTCGGTAAAAATGACACCCCTAATGATCATATATACGAGAAGGGCGGAAAGCTCTCGATGTCGAAATGTCGACCCCACCTAACTTTCTTGCATACAAAAAAAAAACATATCTAGCTGATCAACGGGAAAATGCTTGTAGGACCTTTGGACAGATGGATGTTTTTTCTTTTAAAAACCTTCTATATGCGCGTTAAATGTATTCTCCTTCCGCGACCATGATCTCCGGCTCCTCCAGGTCCCTGTGATAGCTCGGTGTTAAATGTACGATGGGTTATACACTTTTCTTTGTCACGACTTGCCCCCCGTGTCAACAGTTCTCTCCCATTCTTATTTCATAAAATCAAATTTTGGTTAATGTTTCTTCAAAAATCACATAAAATTAGTGTGTGGCATGTATGTGTATGGTTGGTTTTAAAGAAAGTACCCCTGACTTCAGACACGGACTAAATCTAGTGCCGTGCTTCAGACAGTAAATGAATTGCTGAATTTGGACAAGTTGACAGTTGCAATCAGGAACCGTCGTCACTTTCCGTAAACTATCTATTTCACAGAAATTAGAAATGAATATTTACATCTCATTGTGTTGGAAACGGTCATTAACGTATTTACATTTGCATAGACAAAAATGTGTATGAACAGTTGTCACAATAGCTTTATATGTGTAGTCGGGGAATGCAATGTCTGTATAAACAGTTGTCACAATAGCTTTATGTACGTAGTCAGTGAATACAATGTCTGTATGAACAGTTGTCGCAATAGCTTTATGTACGTAGTCAGAAAATACAATGTCTGTATGAACAGTTGTCACAATAGCTTTATGTATGTAGCCCAGGAATACAATATCTGTATGAACAGTTGTCACAATAGCTTTATGTACGTAGCCGGGA